AAGCAGATTGGATATAAAGTCACACAACAATGCAAAAAAAATCAGATTTCTGAAGGATTTGAATCATTATATTTCATTGTAAAGTTTAGAGATGGAGAGTGGGGACATGCAGAAAATGCATTTTTTGAGTGTTCTATGTAGTTTTTATCTAAGTTTTTAATTATACATTTTAAATTTGTAGTTAGCTTAATGTGCAGGACATTTTGCTTAATAATAAAATGTATTTTAGAGTTAATTTTCATGCAATTTTATACATATAATGTCCTGGGGACAGAAATGTCACCCTTTCGGTGGAATGGCTCACAACCAACTTGGATCATTTCAACTTAAATTACATTAAACTGACCTAAAAAATAAGTGGAATCTTGTATAACATAAAAAAGTTAAAAATTTATGTCATGAAATTGATATGTATTGAAAGTAATATTTTGACATGTAAAAACGTTGTCATGACTTATTGATCATATAATGTTTACAGTGAACGGGATACTTTATTAGACCCTGTACTGTACTTACAATTTATATCCATATAACAGTATCAGAAAAAAATTAAATATGGGGATGCTAAAGGTTTTTCTTTCATGATGATAGTTCCCAAAAGAAAGAGCCTTTTGTGCAATGGGAAGATTTCATGGATGTTCTTCATGGATCACGTCTGAAAAACTCACAGAGATTCATTGATTGATTGGAAAGTGTGAGAAAATGAGTTTGATCAGAGTCTGTTTTCCACATGATGTGATATTATAGGCTGATTATGAGCAGAGCTGAGGTTTCGCTGCACTTATGAGAGCTAATATAGTGAAATATGGTATAAATGAAAACATTTTATGTTTAAAATGCTCATAAATCGGCCAAATTATGTTTATATTTAAATCTAATAATAACATGCACGGGTTTGTTTAGGGCATAGATAATATCCCAGCGAACATTATAAGATATTGATATCTGGTTGCATGTTGGTTCTGATTTCAGGGTCTGTCCAATGTTTGCCATCAACATATTTTAATTTCCATTCAAAATTCAACATCCGTCCAACACTGGAGTCTTTCTGACGTTAAATTGACATGCTCTCAAAACGCTTTTAAAAAAGTGTTTTTTTTTTTGTTTTGTTTTTTGGTGTAACAGTTTTACACTTTTACATTTGTAATATTGAGTACATTGTAGCTTTAAATAATGAATGTACATTTTTGATGAGATTATGTTTAATTTATTTTGTAATGTCCAACTCAAACATTTACTTAAGTGACATCTAGATTATTATAGTTATTTATTATTGTGATATTTACAAATGATGGAAGTCAATGAGATGAACTCCCTAAACCTGTGTGTTCTTGTTTACTCACATGATGGAGGATCTGTGACCTCTGACCTCTGGACACGGACATCAGCACTGCAGAACAGAAGCTGCGTCTGTTGTGTGAAATTCATGTGTCACACAGAACATCTACAGCACACGCCTGATCACACATGTGACACACACACACACACACACACACACTTATACACACTCATACACTCACACACACACACACACGCTCACACACTCAATGCACACATACACGCTCACTCATAGACACACTCATATATACACACACACACACACACACACACACGCTCACACACTCATGCACACATACACGCTCACTCATAGACACACTCATATATACACACACACACACACACACACACTCATGCACACATACACACTCACTCATAGACACACTCATATATACACTTGCACACTCACTCATGCACACATACACACTCACTCATAGACACACTAATATATACACACACACTCACACACACACACACGCTCACAGTCACACACTCATGCACACATACACACTCACTCATAGACACACTCATATATACACACACACTCACACACACACGCTCACACACTCATGCACACATACACACTCACTCACTCACGCTCACTCATGCACACATACACACTCACTCATAGACACACTAATATATACACACACACACACACACACACGCTCACAGTCACACACTCATGCACACATACACACTCACACATAGACACACTCATATATACACACACACTCACACACACACACGCTCACACACTCATGCACACATACACACTCACTCATAGACACACTCATATGTACACACGCACACTCACACTCATGCACACATACACACTCACTCTTAGACACTAATATGTACGCACACTCACACACATGCACACATACACACTCACTCATAGACACACTCATATATACACACGCACACTCACGCACACTCACACTCATGCACACATACACACTCACTCATAGACACTAATATGTACGCACACTCACACACATGCACACATACACACTCACTCATGGACACACTCATATATACACACACACACACGCTCACACACTCATGCACACATACACACTCACTCATAGACACACTCATATATACACACGCACACTCACACACGCTCACTCATGCACACATACACACTCACTCATAGACACTTATATATACACACGCACACTCACACACACGCTCACTCATGCACACATACACACTCACTCATAGACACTCATATATACACACGCACACACACACACACGCTCACTCATGCACACATACACACTCACTCATAGACACTCATATATACACACGCACACTCACACACACGCTCACTCATGCACACATACACTCACTCATAGACACACTCATATATATTACACACACACACACACACGCACACTCACACACTCACACTCACACTCATGCACACATACACACTCACTCATAGACACACTCATATGTACACACTCACGCACACTCACACTCATGCACACATACACACTCACTCATAGACACACTCATATATACACACGCACACTCACACACGCTCACTCATGCACACATACACACTCACTCATATATACACGCACACTCACACACGCTCACTCATGCACACATACACACTCACTCATAGACACTCATATATACACACGCACACTCACACACGCTCACTCATGCACACATACACACTCACTCATAGACACACTCATATATACACTTGCACACTCACTCATGCACACATACACACTCACTCATAGACACACTAATATATACACACACACTCACACACACACACACGCTCACAGTCACACACTCATGCACACATACACACTCACTCATAGACACACTCATATATACACACACACTCACACACACACGCTCACACACTCATGCACACATACACACTCACTCACTCACGCTCACTCATGCACACATACACACTCACTCATAGACACACTAATATATACACACACACACACACACACACGCTCACAGTCACACACTCATGCACACATACACACTCACACATAGACACACTCATATATACACACACACTCACACACACACACGCTCACACACTCATGCACACATACACACTCACTCATAGACACACTCATATGTACACACGCACACTCACACTCATGCACACATACACACTCACTCTTAGACACTAATATGTACGCACACTCACACACATGCACACATACACACTCACTCATAGACACACTCATATATACACACGCACACTCACGCACACTCACACTCATGCACACATACACACTCACTCATAGACACTAATATGTACGCACACTCACACACATGCACACATACACACTCACTCATGGACACACTCATATATACACACACACACACGCTCACACACTCATGCACACATACACACTCACTCATAGACACACTCATATATACACACGCACACTCACACACGCTCACTCATGCACACATACACACTCACTCATAGACACTCATATATACACACGCACACTCACACACACGCTCACTCATGCACACATACACACTCACTCATAGACACTCATATATACACACGCACACACACACACACGCTCACTCATGCACACATACACACTCACTCATAGACACTCATATATACACACGCACACTCACACACACGCTCACTCATGCACACATACACTCACTCATAGACACACTCATATATATTACACACACACACACACACGCACACTCACACACTCACACTCACACTCATGCACACATACACACTCACTCATAGACACACTCATATGTACACACTCACGCACACTCACACTCATGCACACATACACACTCACTCATAGACACACTCATATATACACACGCACACTCACACACGCTCACTCATGCACACATACACACTCACTCATATATACACACGCACACTCACACACGCTCACTCATGCACACATACACACTCACTCATAGACACTCATATACACACGCACACTCACACACGCTCACTCATGCACACATACACTCACTCATAGACACACTCAAATATATTACACACACACACACGCACACTCACACACACACACGCTCACACACACATGCACACATACACACTCACTCATAAACACACTCACACACAATAATAGTCAAATCTGTGTGGAATGTGCAGGAATCCTCATTATAAACCCATAAAAGCTGATATTTCCCATTTTCATTCGGTTTAAATTGATGAACTAAAATAGCATAACTAAAGCTGAAATAGGCTAATAATTAATAAAAAACAACATACAGACATATTTAAAAAAGACAAAAACACAACACACAATAATTCAACCTTTAATTAAAAATAAAATGAAAATAGAACAAATAAAAATATGAATTAAAACATATAATAGTATCGCAATCATAGTAAATATCCCACAATTCTCACTTTCTCTCGCAATTCCGAGTTTATGTCTCACAATTCTGAGTTTTACCCCCCTCATCTTCCATTGTGATTCACGTTCATTACTACTGTATACAGTGACTGTACATTACTGTATACACTACAGTAATAATGAACCTGAATGTCAATGGAAGATGAGGGGGGTAAAACTCAGAATTGTATGATGACGTAGTGATCTATGGTAGTGATAAATGCACACACGGGAACATGAACGCGCCGCGCAGGGCCGTGATAAAGGAACGCGCAAGAGTGTAGCGGCGTTCGTGACGTCAGGCGCGTGCGATTATTTTGAACGGGGGTCAAGATGGCGGAGGATAGCAGCTTAAAGCACCGGAATCACACCGGGAAGAACTGCACAAGTAACCGATATAACGAAGGTAAATCCGGCGAGAGACAGCGCGATTGTGTGCGCGTTTTAACGGCCAATGCACGTTTAACGCGAGCGGAGCGCGAGCTGGCTGTTTGGCGGGAGGCGCGTGCAGGCCAGCGATCGCGCTGCGGTAAAAATCAATAATAATAGAATTAATTCATACAGAATTAGATAAACATCAGTAAATCAAAGACGTCAGGCAGTGTGAGAACGGTTTATGAAATATGACCGTTAATTTATGAAATCGTTGAGTGAAATCAGGAATAAAAAATCACCTGAGGACTGAATGCCGATGATTTCACAAGCGATCGATTTCCTTTTATTATCGTGAGTGTGTTTGTTCTTATTAAAGCTCAATATGAGCGTTTATACTTTTGACAGTTCCGTGCGAGTGTGTGTTTCAGTGGTTTGTGTTTATCAGGCCACAGGGGAACAGAGAGATGGAGAATATATCACTGACAGAACATAAACAACTGGAGATTTCAGATGAAAGATAACAGTGAAATCTGGACTAGAGACAGAATTATAATATAGAGCTGATTTACTGATAATGTTGTGTTTCTGGAGGGCTGTATGGCGGATTCTGGGGATCATATGTTGAATTATGTTTTGCTTATTATTATTATTTAAATTATGTAAATTTGGATTTGTGTGGTTTGGAAACATTAAGATTTTAAAATGATTTTGAAAGAGTCTCTTCTGCTCACCAGGGCTGTATTTATTTGATCAAAAATACAGTAAAAACTGAAATATTATTAATGTAAAACAGCTGTTTTCTATGTGAATATACAGTAGCTAACTGTTTAAATGTTTCTACAGGTGAAACTCGAAAAATTAGAATATGGTGCAAAAGTTCATTTATTTCAGTATTTCAACTTAAAAGGTGAAACTAATATATTATATAGACTCATTACATGCAAAGTGACATATTTCAAGCCTTTATTTGTTATAATTGTGATGATTATGGCTTGCAGCTTATGAAAACCCCAAAGTCAAAATTAGAATATTGTGAAAAGGTTTTCATAAGCTGTCAACCATAATCACAATTATAACAAATAAAGGCTTGAAATATCTCACTTTGCATGTAATGAGTCTATATAATATATTAGTTTCACCTTTTAAGTTGAATTACTGAAATAAATGAACTTTTGCACCATATTCAAATTTTTCGAGTTTCACCTGTATATAAAATCAAGTGTTATTTTTAACCATTAATATTATAGTAATTCGCTGACAGGATTCTTGTATTTATTTCTTGAGAAAAATTGACGTACTGTACCTGATATACATCCAAATAAATCGATATCGAATCAAATTGAGTTAAGATCAAAATTGAATTGCAAGCTTAATATTATTCATATTGTCATCTGCGTTTCATTCATGAAGGTTTCCTTGTGTTATTGCAGGACTAATATCTCCCATATTTAAGCAATATTTCCTCTCACAGGGTTTCCATATCTTTTTTATGAGGGGTTTGTTTATATATTGGATTTATATTGGATATTGTGCTGAAATTAACATTTTTCTTTTTACAATTTTTCACATACTGGGCCAAAATGCTCATTTTAAATAACAACAAGGCTTGTTTCTTCTTGTATTTGTAATATCGTAATAAATAATTGCACATTTTGTTTTTAGAAATATGTGCTCATTGTGCTGAATTTTTTTTTTTTTTTTACATTAAATGTTTTGCTTTCTTTTCAAACATTACAAAACAAAAATTTGTGGGGCAATAATGCTGATTCAAAACATTAGTGGTTGGTTAGTAAATTGCAACATATTATTCCAAGGTTACACATTTTTCCAATGAAAGTTAAGAAGTGAGATTTGATGAGTTTACTGTTGAACCCTGAATTTATTCTAATATTTTTTTGTGAGTGATTTTTCCCTCATGTTGCATCACTATATTAACATGTACTGTATAACACAACTCTAACAATGGTCTTAACGTGCAGTTCATGTGGCTTTAGCTAATAGAAGCACATGTGTATAGGATTATCAAGAGTTTAGGATTACGTGTTGAGTGTTTGTTCAGGGCAGTGGTGGGTTGTTTCTGTGTTGCTTTAAATAACCTCCCTGCCCCTGCGTCCATAAACTCTTTATTAATGCGTCAATAATCTAGATATAAAGAACCAAATGACTTCTGGGATGGAAACCTTAATGTGCAACTAACTAGGAAACACAAATACTAATGAAACCATCTTTTCTGCCAATATATCTCATCTATGTTTCAGCTGGATCAGTGTTTTTATGTCAAAGATTGTGTTATCGGCGGTTAAACCGGTTTCGGCCTGTTCACGTCTCTAGATTTAGCCCTAGATATGACTAACGCTTGTGTTTGTGGGAAACGTTAGACGAGCTGATGTGGGTCACTGCGTTTACCACATTCATGTTTTTTCGAGGACAAACGCAGTGATCCAGCAGTGGAGGAGGCCTTCTGGGACGTGACGATATGTACTATATTACCACTATATATAGTATATTACCACCCTAATGTGATCGCTCAGTTTCTCTCACACTCCTCCATGTTCTCCGTCAGGTGTGATTTCATCTGCTTCTGTTCACACACTGATCATTGATTTACAGTTGTGACGACAGGGCTACGGACTAGCATTAGAGAGATTTGGGGGGAGTTTAATCATAAATTAGTTTTGCATTTATAAGTGCAATATTTAATAATATTGCATCATGTTTATTTCTTGGAAATGCACATTTGACAGAAAAGCACTGAGCTCGAGTTGAGATGCAGATAAAATTAAAGTCCCCCTGTATTCAATAATTGTGTATCCCTTAACTCACCAAAATTACATAAATAATTTAAATTCTCACCGGCAAGAAAAAAAATAGGGCTGCAACTTGTTACATGTTAATGACAGCAAAACCTGGTTTGGAAAGGGTTAATCAGTCAAATCAAGTGATCATTGTTAGAAATGCAGATAATCAATAATGCTTTATTATTGAAAGCCGATATATTGGCCGATAAATCTAAATCCAGATTGTTATGTAATTTTTGAGAGCCTGATTACAAAAACAAATGTCTCACAATTAAAAGCACAATTATCGTGTTCTCATTGTAATGTTATGTAGCCGATATGACAGACTTGCGCTGCACATGTTTTTTTTTCTTTTTTTAAAGTGATTCTCATCATATTTCAAGCAATTCAAAAGCATTATGGTGAACAGTGCGCATCTGAAGTGTCTCAGCTGAAGGAAATAATCCATTATTAATCAGCATTTACAGTTTTTTTACAATCACTTTGCAACTATTTTCAGAACCTTGATGTCATTTTTCAAAACTCTAGACACAAAACTCACAGCGGTTATCACTTAACACAGGCTGTCTAATGTTCAAAACATTGCATTGTGCATTCACATCTTTACAGAAATCTTGCACTTGCACAATCATTGGTTCAAAAAACAAATTTACTGTGAAATACCACTGAAACATAACTATAGATCACCCACACACACGCAACCGATAGTTTCACTGTGTCATTGTGCGTACAATCATTAAATATTGTAGAACACAATAGGAGATCCAGGTTTCATTATGGTCTACATGTACAGTAAACACATCTCTGTAACAGCACTGCAGTCGTAGAGAGAATACACACATAGTGGAATCACTGAACAAAGTGTGTAATATATTGATGCAAAACACTACAGTACAATCACAACAGGTTTATTGGAATCAAATCAAAACAGAAATATTAAATATTAGGCTACATCCATGGATATTGTAGTCTAATTGGTTCATGCTCCACGCTAATTGGTGACAATGAATCTCGTTATCTTGAAACTGTCATGATTTACTGTAAACATGGAAGATTGTGTGTGTTTCCATACAACTATGCATTAAGAGTAACGCAACAGTTACTTATCATTTTGAGCAGTTGTATCAGTTGATAGTTAGATCATTGTAAGGAAATTAATAGACACTCGTTTGAAATGTAATGTGTGAATTGCCTTTTGAAATAGTAGTACTGTGATGTTAACCCTTGTGTTCTGTTCGATTTCTGTGTACACCCCTTATGAACCGGGTCAAATTGACCCTAATTGGATTCAATACAATTCCTCAAAAATCACACTATGAAAAACAACAAAGATTTAGAGACAAACTGTAAACTTTTAATATCAACATTTGTCAAACATTACAAAAACATTATATCTGAAAATATGATTTATGAAAATGTTTTTAAAACATTTTTTTTAAACAGTTTTGTTTTGACAAAATTGAAAAATAAACAGTATACTGAATTTTTTTTGCATATATTTATTTTTACTTTTTTTTTTTTTTTTTTTACATTTTATGCTTTGAACATCGTAACTGAACAAAAAAAATGTCTGTATAATGAAATTTTTTCATTTTCCTAAATTAAATTTCCCCAGTTTCCTAAGACCTATTTTCCTAGTTTCATTATTCACTCACTGGGAAGTGAGAAACCAAACATAACAAAAACATACATCAAATAAATGTTTTTTATTTATTTTTTGGCTCTGTGAAGCTGCCTTTGAAAATCCTACATAAAAGTTTTGGTTGAAAGCTAGGTATTTTAGATATCTTGAATATTGAAATGAGAGCTTATTTTACTATCTGTGTCTGACAAAGATTTTCATCTGTAATTTGCAAATAATTCTGAACACTGTAATTTTAGCTTTTTCAAGTGTGTTTGGTTAGGGTTAGAGCACTTTTAGATGCACGTGCACGTTAGAACTGGAGTTGAAGTGCCCTTACATTCAGAAAATAAATGTTTTTATTTTGTGTCTGTACAGTTGCTTTTGACTGGCTGTCTATGAGGGTCAAATTGACCCGCGAACATCACGAACGTAACAGTAATTGTGTTTGTATATGTCAAAACACATCAGCATGTTGAAACTTTGCATGCATGTTCATCATGATAAATGAGAAAAAGTCACAAAATATCAAGACAAAAAACAAAGGTTAACCAGTATTTCCAACAACTTGAAAATCGAAACGGGTCAAATTGACCCGCAACATAACACAAGGGTTAAGTTGTGTCATATTGAACAGGTGATTTTTGTTGAATGAACAAAATGATCTAAGTTTTATGTGTATTGTATCCAAGCAATTGAGAAAAGGGTTAGAGTTTTGAAAAATGTGTATTTTGATCATTGGTTGTGAGTTTTGTGTCTAGAGTTGTGAAAAATGACATCCCGGTTCTGAAAATAGTAACAAAGTGGTTGTAAAAAACTGTAATATATCAGCTAAATTTTCTTATCAGGCCGATAACGATAACAGTAAATATGAACGTATATCGGCCGATACTGATATGGTGGCCGATAGGACTGCACGATATTGAAGAAAAATGCGATAACTCATTAAATAATGCGATATTCGATACGATAATGCTTAAAGTGTGTAAATTATCTTTAAAATATATTAAAAATGATATAACCTAAATGCTTGTTTCACATTGTTTCTGTGAGCAGAAAACATCCCTACAGCTTCTGAAGTGAACATCAGTGTTTTACTGTGTCATGAGAAGTGTTATTAACATCAGTGTGTTCAGTTATCCTACATTAGGGTTATTTAACAACAGAACGTGAATGATCAAATGTAAAAATAAAACATTGCTTAGTTTTCACTGTATGAATTAAATATACGCGGATTCTTATTAAAGCTACAGAAGTGATTCAGCCGAGAGCAGCGAGTGAGTTTCTCTTTGTCTTTTGTTCATGACCCCAAGCCGTTGCGATATGCATATTGCGATATTTTGATCATTTCTATATATTGTGCAGCCCTAGTGGCCAATATATCATTCATATCTACGGGTGAAACTGGAAAAATTTGAATATGGTGCAAAAGTTCATTTATTTCAGTAATTCAACTTAAAAGGTGAAACTAATATATTATATAGACTCATTACATGCAAAGTGACATATTTCAAGCCTTTATTTGTTATAATTTTGATGACTTACAGCTTATGAAAACCTTTTCACAATATTCTAATTTTGACTTGGGTTTTCATAAGCTGTAAGCCATAATCATCACAGTTTTAACAAATAAAGGCTTGAAATATCTCACTTTGCATGTAATGAGTCTATATAATATATTAGTTTCACCTTTTAAGTTGAATTACTGAAATAAATTAACTTTTGCACCATATTATAATTTTTCGAGTTTCACCTGTAATTATTACATAACCGTGCACATGACCGTGAGCTGGCCAAATGACCAAAACGCTCTCAGAACCGGTTTAGGAAACACGGGAATCTCTTCTCATGTTTGTTGTGTGTGTCTTTGCTCAGGTGTGTTCGGGGTGGAGGATGTCTGGCGTAAGATGAGCTCTGATGATCGGGACGAGGAACCGTTGCTGGACGAGGAGGAGGCGTTTGGGCCGATCCAGATCGTAATCGCAGATGAGGATAATCACGAGTTTTCTCTGGACGAAGACGCGCTGGAGCGAATCCTCCTGCAGGAGCGCGTGCGAGATCTCAATGTGGTGGTGGTGTCGGTGGCGGGCGCGTTTCGCAAGGGCAAGTCATTCCTGCTGGACTTCATGCTCAGATACATGTACAACCAGGTGAGAAACAGCACTGCAACACACTTGCACTACATATGAAGAACAGTAACGTTCACTTTTGTACGGGTTCTGGTTAGGAGTGTGCACGAATATTTGAATTTTCGAATATTCGATCTATAATTATTAGGGCTGGGCAAAAAAATTTTTTCTCGATTAATCGTTTTTTAAAATGTGTTCGATTCAAAATCAATTCTCAAAGGCCAAGAATCAAAAAATGTTTTTTCCATATTTATCCATCTATCACCCAAAAGCCAGTATTAGTTCTCCTCCACTGTTCAGGCTTGAGCCTCCGTGTTACAGCGAATGCTGGGAGATTTGATGTGTTTAATCTTAAACATAAAATAACCTGATCCTGTTTGATCACTGTTCTGACACTCGTCAGCATACATTTTTCATCTTGCATCAAAATCCTGTCTATTCATTGTATGCGTTTGAAATAATGAAATATAGAGTTGGGTTCTGTTTTAATGCACCTAAAATAAGAGTTTAATATACAGGTTTGTGGCTCTTAATTTCTTTTTATTAATTAACCACTTGTAAACTTATGTTCACTGTTCTTTTTTATAAATATAGGATTTGTAGACCCGAGAGTTTGCCTGGTGTGCATTTTATAATTGTTCTTGCTATTTGGGATAAGTAGGACCTAATAAATATAATAACTAAATATAATATAATATTATATAAAATATAATATAAATATAATAATACAATATAATCATGTGAGGACAGTGGGTCTATGATTTACCATGATGTCCTCGTGTGAGGACACAGTACTGGCAATAAAAAAAAAACTTGTGGTTGTAAAATGGTTGTAATTCAAGAATGCTTTGGAATATAGACATATGGTTGGTCTTGTTTTTACGAAGACATTTGCCAGATTATTGTAGATTAATAAATTATGATAAATTATGAAAGTGAAACAGAAAAAAAGTTATATAAGTTTGAGTTTATGAAAATATAGTATGTAAAAATATAATTATTTATATTTTATATAAAATATATATATTATAAAATATATTTTACTCTAAAACTGCTAGAAAATTAAAGCCAAAAATCTAAACAAGTTGTGTTCCAAATTTTAGGTTGATATCTCAAAAAATGAGCTTTCAGTAAGATTTTATTTGGGCGTAGTACCAAACTATTTCACTACATGGACAGCCAGCTTCCTTACTGACCATATAAGGGTGTCTCCATTTTCATATGTTTTGAGTGATCTGAACCATGTCTTTCCATAATTTCATACAATTTATTAAGTATACATCATATTCAGAAATAGTATGGGTGTTTTGGCAGTATTTGATTTGATTTCAACCTCTAATAAACATAAAAAGAGCACATATGTGCGTTATAGCTCGCTGCCGCATCACAAATCGAGAATGCATCATATTTTTCTTTATATTCTAAAAATGTTCAGACCTTTTTTCTCATAACATTTAATTAGTGTTATCTTTTGAACTCTTGGCATGAAAACCAACTGAGGTTTCTAACAATCTTGCATGATTTTTCATGTTTTTTTTTCTATTTCAAAATAAAGGCCTAAACACGCCAAATGAATATGAAATATTCTTGTTGCAAATTGATAAATTACTGCTATTCTGTAATTTATTTAAAAAAAACAGCCACCAAATATGAAAACTAGAGATTGTAAGCTTTCAAATGATACTTAGTTTGTCAATATTACTTTAGGTTTTTACTAAGATATTATTGTTCTAAATATATATGGGCAAACGTCCCACGTGGGACGGTGACAGTTAAGGGGATAACGTAATATAGTCCCAATGTCCTCAAACGAGTACTTCATATTTACTGATGTCCTAGAGTGCTACTATTACTAAAATATGTCAAATTTTAATCCCCATATGATGCTAGAGACAGTATTGTACATAAATACATTTGTTTTATTCATATAATTTGAATAGATTTTTTACCTGGGTCATTTTTCTTTCGGGAACTGGTGTAGAAGGGTTAGGGTTAGGGTCATTTTCTTCTTACTGACATTGGTGTAATGTTGTGATGTCACTACAAGATGGTGTGGGCAGTGCCCCTAAATGTGGCCAACATGTCTAAGATTTACAAATTTAACTATCATTGTGTCAAGAGGCAAAAATGTAATGTCCTCATATGAGGCCGCAGGGTCTCAGGAGGTTAAATCTATATTCATTGAGTCGAATTGAGAGCTATCGAATCGGAACATCTGAATCGATACCCAGCCCTAATAATAATTATTATTAAAAAATAAAATATTATTCGAACTTTACTACGTTGCTTTGCTGGCCGTAAATGCAGTGAATCCATGATGAATCCCAAGCACTAACTCAGTTATAATTAAATGCACTGGGTGGCGCTGTGGAGCGTGTTGTTTGAATTTGACATAATGTCGTCGTCTGCCTCGCGAAGTTTGGAATTACTTAGATGAAAATGATTTACTAAATGATATTACAAAATGGAATTACTTTTAATCAAATAATTAATGAAACTGAGTTATCATAATATCACCACCATGAGAAATCATATGAAATCCAAACCAGGGTATCCGCGGGGTATGGTATGGGTATGGAAAAGGTATTAAAATTAACTTCAAGATTCCTGCATATACCCTGCAAACAGCAGTCGAATGAGGAAAGAAATGTCCACCACTGCATTCACATTCATAAGCGCAGCTGAATGCCGAGATAACCTATCTGATAGCAAAATGATTTCGAGACATATGCTTCCTTTAAGTTTCGTTGAGGGAGACCGGTTTAAGAACAGAAAACACGGAAGTGCTGTTAGAAACTTCGCTTCGCACACCGTTATCTGTGTCGCTGCGACGTCTGTCAGCGCAGCGCGTTTTAATTGTTTTTCTCAACATTAACATGTGAAACAATATAAACACGATAACCATATGCTGACTCGAGTGCATATGTACGTTCTGTACGATAATTGGTGCAGTCTGCTTTATTACCGTTCGTGCTGCTTGAGCTTAAATGCTTTTGTTCTTTATATTTTTTGTTTACTCCTATTGTTTAATGTTTTCAACTAAAAGAAAACCTTAAGATATTTCAATCCGTCTATCATTCGATCAGTCGTTTTTTTTTATTTAATATTGAAAGTAGAAAAATTCGAAAATTTTACGACGAATTCAGAATTGATTTTTTGTTCTGAGGTACAAAAATGAATAAACGGCTTGAATATTCGATTTCTACACGTGGGCGGGAATGAAACGGTCCTTTCCTCTGATTTGTCAGCCGAAGATCAATCAACCAGACTAACGAATGGCTCGACACAACCTGTACCGGTACCCGATACGTGGATTTATATTGTAAGCTTGTTTTGTATTTTGCCTAATCGTGAGCTTGTTCAGAAATGGTGACAAAAACTAAAACCTTAAAAAATAATGTTTATCTTGTTAAACTTTATTTAAATAAACGAATATTAGATTTTTTTTTTAGCCCAAATATTTAAATATAATATTTTTTGAAAAATGCCCATTCCTAGTTCTGGTCCAGATTCATGACTGATTGTCGGATTCGACACACACACACACACACACACACACACTCATAGAGCAGCTCTTGTGATGCTGCCGATCGACTTTAATCCATTACAGCCGCTTTACTGTGAAACACTGATGTTTTGTGTTCGTCTGAAAGAGTCTTTTGTTTTGCTGTTGAGAGTATTATTGAGTTTGTCTTGAAGTTTAGACTGACGTCTCACACTGAACATACAGCACACAGGTGTCTCGTGACTGGAGCGGTTCAGAAAACAGAAAAGTCTGACATCAGGTGGCCTGTGATAAACAGCAGAGACAGTGCTGAACGTGTGTGTGTGTGTGTGTGTGTGTGTCTGTCAGAGCTCAGATTTATGGCTGGGTGGGAATGAAGAGCCGCTGACGGGCTTCACGTGGCGAGGCGGCTGCGAGCGCGAGACCACGGGCATCCATGCCTGGAGTGAAGTGTTTGTGGTGGAGAAACCGGATGGCAGCAAGGTAAAAATCAGCCCACATCATTCACTACAGAACCAACATCTGAAACCCCTCTACTGAAACACACAGCTCCAATAAACACTTTTTTTATCAGCCAAAATGAAATTTTAAGTCGGCATGAAATGAAAGTTGCAAATTATCTTCCCTTTTGTTCCGTATATCCAAGTGAAACGCTTCTGGAACAAGAACACATGTGGGCGGGGCTTGATTGTGTCTGTGGGGAATTGTTTGGATGGTTGTTGTTTGCTATTGGCTGATCTCATGTGAGTGACAGGTTATAGCCCCGCCCTCGTCATCAGAGAAGAGATTCTGATTCAAGATTATTAAAACGATAATGATGTGCACTAGGGCTGTCAAATAAAAATTTGAATTTTGAAATTCGTCGAATTAAAAAAAAAAACTGACGATGGAGGGAGAGAGTGTGTGTGTGTGTGTTTGTATTTAGTATTTTTTTTAAAAAATTTCCTTTAGTAAACCTGCACTTTATCAAAAGTCTTGCTATTTATTCAGATTTTCTGCTACTTTAATTTGATTCTACTCCTCATCTGTTGTGATTTCGAAACAGTTTTGGATTGTTTATCATATGTTAATTTAAAAAATCTTTTATAATATTACTTGCTGTTTTTTTTATTTTTTTTTTATTCTATTTATATGATATTTGTATTTTTGTAATTGAATTTTTGCCATGAAAATAGCTTTGAATGCTGACATGGCATTAAATAAAAGAATCTGAATCTGTTGTGATTTCAATTTGAAAAATGTTTCTCTAAAATAAAATGGCAAGAATAAAATGTTAAACTGCTGTTTGAGCTGTAAATCCATCATTTTCTGATCACATTATTTTAGTTCTGATGTGATTCTCACTCGTAGATCTGATCCGTGTGTGTGTGTGTGTGTGTGAGAGAGAGCGAGAGATCGGGTGTGTTCTGGCTCAGTAACCCGTGACCATCTGTGTGTTTGCAGGTGGCAGTGCTGCTCCTGGACACACAGGGAGCGTTTGACAGTCAGTCCACCATCAAAGACTGCGCCACACTGTTCGCTCTCAGCACCATGACCAGCTCCGTTCAGGTACGTCACGCAGGTTCAGTGACCTGTGATCATGTGACCAGAACGTTCAGTGTCCTGATGCGCGTCACGTGTGATCATGTGACCAGAACGTTCAGTGTCCCGATGCACGTCACGTGGGATCATGTGACCAGAACGTTCAGTGACCGGTGATCATGTGACCAGAACGTTCAGTTTCCTGATGCGCGTCACGTGTGATCATGTGACCAGAACGTTCAGTGTCCCGATGCACGTCACGTGTGATCATGTGACCAGAACGTTCAGTGTCCTGATGCGCGTCACGTGTGATCATGTGACCAGAACGTTCAGTGTCCCGATGCACGTCACGTGTGATCATGTGACCAGAACGTTCAGTGACCGGTGATCATGTGACCAGAACGTTCAGTTTCCTGATGCGCGTCACGTGTGATCATGTGACCAGAACGTTCAGTGTCCTGATGCGCGTCACGTGTGATCATGTGACCAGAACGTTCAGTTTCCTGATGCGCGTCACGTGTGATCATGTGACCAGAACGTTCAGTGTCCTGATGCGCGTCACGTGTGATCATGTGACCAGAACGTTCAGTGTCCTGATGCACGTCACGTGTGATCATGTGACCAGAACGTTCAGTTTCCTGATGCGCGTCACGTGTGATCATGTGACCAGAACGTTCAGTGTCCTGATGCGCGTCACGTGTGATCATGTGACCAGAACGTTCAGTGTCCTGATGCGCGTCACGTGTGATCATGTGACCAGAACGTTCAGTTTCCTGATGCGCGTCACGTGTGATCATGTGACCAGAACGTTCAGTGTCCTGATGCGCGTCACGTGTGATCATGTGACCAGAACGTTCAGTGTCCCGATGCACGTCACGTGGGATCATGTGACCAGAACGTTCAGTTTCCTGATGCGCGTCACGTGTGATCATGTGACCAGAACGTTCAGTGTCCTGATGCGCGTCACGTGTGATCATGTGACCAGAACGTTCAGTGTCCCGATGCACGTCACGTGGGATCATGTGACCAGAACGTTCAGTGACCGGTGATCATGTGACCAGAACGTTCAGTTTCCTGATGCGCGTCACGTGTGATCATGTGACCAGAACGTTCAGTGTCCCGATGCACGTCACGTGTGATCATGTGACCAGAACGTTCAGTGTCCCGATGCACGTCACGTGTGATCATGTGACCAGAACGTTCAGTGACCGGTGATCATGTGACCAGAACGTTCAGTTTCCTGATGCGCGTCACGTGTGATCATGTGACCAGAACGTTCAGTGTCCTGATGCGCGTCACGTGTGATCATGTGACCAGAACGTTCAGTGTCCCGATGCACGTCACGTGTGATCATGTGACCAGAACGTTCAGTGACCGGTGATCATGTGACCAGAACGTTCAGTTTCCTGATGCGCGTCACGTGTGATCATGTGACCAGAACGTTCAGTGTCCTGATGCGCGTCACGTGTGATCATGTGACCAGAACGTTCAGTTTCCTGATGCGCGTCACGTGTGATCATGTGACCAGAACGTTCAGTGTCCTGATGCGCGTCACGTGTGATCATGTGACCAGAACGTTCAGTTTCCTGATGCGCGTCACGTGTGATCATGTGACCAGAACGTTCAGTGTCCTGATGCGCGTCACGTGTGATCATGTGACCAGAACGTTCAGTTTCCTGATGCGCGTCACGTGTGATCATGTGACCAGAACGTTCAGTGTCCTGATGCGCGTCACGTGTGATCATGTGACCAGAACGTTCAGTTTCCTGATGCGCGTCACGTGTGATCATGTGACCAGAACGTTCAGTGTCCTGATGCACGTCACGTGTGATCATGTGACCAGAACGTTCAGTTTCCTGATGCGCGTCACGTGTGATCATGTGACCAGAACGTTCAGTGTCCTGATGCGCGTCACGTGTGATCATGTGACCAGAACGTTCAGTGTCCTGATGCGCGTCACGTGTGATCATGTGACCAGAACGTTCAGTTTCCTGATGCGCGTCACGTGTGATCATGTGACCAGAACGTTCAGTGTCCTGATGCGCGTCACGTGTGATCATGTGACCAGAACGTTCAGTGTCCTGATGCGCGTCACGTGTGATCATGTGACCAGAACGTTCAGTTTCTTGATGCGCGTCACGTGTGATCATGTGACCAGAACGTTCAGTGTCCTGATGCGCGTCACGTGTGATCATGTGACCAGAACGTTCAGTGTCCTGATGCGCGTCACGTGTGATCATGTGACCAGAACGTTCAGTGTCCCGATGCGCGTCACGTGTGATCATGTGACCAGAACGTTCAGTTTCCTGATGCGCGTCACGTGTGATCATGTGACCAGAACGTTCAGTGTCCTGATGCGCGTCACGTGTGATCATGTGACCAGAACGTTCAGTTTCCTGATGCGCGTCACGTGTGATCATGTGACCAGAACGTTCAGTGTCCCGATGCGCGTCACGTGTGATCATGTGACCAGAACGTTCAGTGTCCTGATGCGCGTCACGTGTGATCATGTGACCAGAACGTTCAGTGTCCTGTGATCATGTGACCAGAACGTTCAGTGTCCTGATGCGCGTCATGTGTGATCATGTGACCAGAACGTTCAGTGTCCCGATGCACGTCACGTGTGATCATGTGACCAGAACGTTCAGTGTCCCGATGCGCGTCACGTGTGATCATGTGACCAGAACGTTCAGTGTCCTGTGATCATGTGACCAGAACGTTCAGTGTCCTGATGCGCGTCACGTGTAATCATGTGACCAGAACGTTCAGTGTCCTGATGCGCGTCACGTGTGATCATGTGACCAGAACGTTCAGTGGCCTGATGCGCGTCACGTGTGATCATGTGACCAGAACGTTCAGTGTCCTGATGCGCGTCACGTGTGATCATGTGACCAGAACGTTCAGTGTCCTGATGCGCGTCACGTGTGATCATGTGACCAGAACGTTCAGTGTCCTGATGCGCGTCACGTGTAATCATGTGACCGGAACGTTCAGTGTCCTGATGCGCGTCACGTGTAATCATGTGACCGGAACGTTCAGTGTCCTGATGCGCGTCACGTGTAATCATGTGACCAGAACGTTCAGTGTCCTGATGCGCGTCACGCGTGATCATGTGACCAGAACGTTCAGTGTCCTGATGCTCGTCACGTGTGATCATGTGACCAGAACGTTTAGTGTCCTGATGCGCGTCACGCGTGATCATGTGACCAGAACGTTCAGTGTCCTGATGCGCGTCACGTGTGATCATGTGACCAGAACGTTCAGTGTCCCGATGCGCGTCACGTGTGATCATGTGACCAGAACGTTCAGTGTCCTGATGCTCGTCACGTGTGATCATGTGACCAGAACGTTTAGTGTCCTGATGCTCGTCACGTGTGATCATGTGACCAGAACGTTTAGTGTCCTGATGCGCGTCACGTGTGATCATGTGACCAGAACGTTCAGTGTCCTGATGCGCGTCACGTGTGATCATGTGACCAGAACGTTCAGTGTCCTGATGCGCGTCACGTGTGATCATGTGACCAGAACGTTTAGTGTCCGGATGCTCGTCACGTGTGATCATGTGACCAGAACGTTTAGTGTCCTGATGCGCGTCACGTGTGATCATGTGACCAGAACGTTTAGTGTCCTGATGCGCGTCACGTGTGATCATGTGACCAGAACGTTCAGTGTCCTGATGCGCGTCACGTGTGATCATGTGACCAGAACGTTCAGTGTCCTGATGCGCGTCACGTGTGATCATGTGACCAGAACGTTTAGTGTCCTGATGCGCGTCACGTGTGATCATGTGACCAGAACGTTCAGTGTCCTGATGCGCGTCACGTGTGATCATGTGACCAGAACGTTTAGTGTCCTGATGCGCGTCACGTGTGATCATGTGACCAGAACGTTTAGTGTCCTGATGCTCGTCACGTGTGATCATGTGACCAGAACGTTCAGTGTCCTGATGCGCGTCACGTGTGATCATGTGACCAGAACGTTCAGTTTCCTGATGCGCGTCACGTGTGATCATGTGACCAGAACGTTCAGTGTCCCGATGCGCGTCACGTGTGATCATGTGACCAGAACGTTCAGTGTCCTGTGATCATGTGACCAGAACGTTCAGTGTCCTGATGCGCGTCATGTGTGATCATGTGACCAGAACGTTCAGTGTCCCGATGCACGTCACGTGTGATCATGTGACCAGAACGTTTAGTGTCCTGATGCTCGTCACGTGTGATCATGTGACCAGAACGTTTAGTGTCCTGATGCGCGTCACGTGTGATCATGTGACCAGAACGTTTAGTGTCCTGATGCGCGTCACGTGTGATCATGTGACCAGAACGTTCAGTGTCCTGATGCGCGTCACGTGTGATCATGTGACCAGAACGTTTAGTGTCCTGATGCGCGTCACGTGTGATCATGTGACCAGAACGTTTAGTGTCCTGATGCTCGTCACGTGTGATCATGTGACCAGAACGTTCAGTGTCCTGATGCGCGTCACGTGTGATCATGTGACCAGAACGTTCAGTTTCCTGATGCGCGTCACGTGTGATCATGTGACCAGAACGTTCAGTGTCCCGATGCGCGTCACGTGTGATCATGTGACCAGAACGTTCAGTGTCCTGTGATCATGTGACCAGAACGTTCAGTGTCCTGATGCGCGTCATGTGTGATCATGTGACCAGAACGTTCAGTGTCCTGATGCGCGTCATGTGTGATCATGTGACCAGAACGTTCAGTGTCCTGATGCGCGTCACGTGTGATCATGTGACCAGAACGTTCAGTGTCCTGTGATCATGTGACCAGAACGTTCAGTGTCCTGATGCGCGTCATGTGTGATCATGTGACCAGAACGTTCAGTGTCCCGATGCACGTCACGTGTGATCATGTGACCAGAACGTTCAGTGTCCCGATGCGCGTCACGTGTGATCATGTGACCAGAACGTTCAGTGTCCTGTGATCATGTGACCAGAACGTTCAGTGTCCTGATGCGCGTCACGTGTGATCATGTGACCAGAACGTTCAGTGTCCTGATGCGCGTCACGTGTGATCATGTGACCAGAACGTTCAGTGTCCTGATGCGCGTCACGTGTGATCATGTGACCAGAACGTTCAGTGTCCTGATGCGCGTCACGTGTGATCATGTGACCAGAACGTTCAGTGTCCTGATGCGCGTCACGTGTAATCATGTGACCAGAACGTTCAGTGTCCTGATGCGCGTCACGTGTAATCATGTGACCGGAACGTTCAGTGTCCTGATGCGCGTCACGTGTAATCATGTGACCGGAACGTTCAGTGTCCTGATGCGCGTCACGTGTAATCATGTGACCAGAACGTTCAGTGTCCTGATGCGCGTCACGCGTGATCATGTGACCAGAACGTTCAGTGTCCTGATGCTCGTCACGTGTGATCATGTGACCAGAACGTTTAGTGTCCTGATGCGCGTCACGCGTGATCATGTGACCAGAACGTTCAGTGTCCTGATGCGCGTCACGTGTGATCATGTGACCAGAACGTTCAGTGTCCCGATGCGCGTCACGTGTGATCATGTGACCAGAACGTTCAGTGTCCTGATGCTCGTCACGTGTGATCATGTGACCAGAACGTTTAGTGTCCTGATGCTCGTCACGTGTGATCATGTGACCAGAACGTTTAGTGTCCTGATGCGCGTCACGTGTGATCATGTGACCAGAACGTTCAGTGTCCTGATGCGCGTCACGTGTGATCATGTGACCAGAACGTTCAGTGTCCTGATGCGCGTCACGTGTGATCATGTGACCAGAACGTTTAGTGTCCGGATGCTCGTCACGTGTGATCATGTGACCAGAACGTTTAGTGTCCTGATGCGCGTCACGTGTGATCATGTGACCAGAACGTTTAGTGTCCTGATGCGCGTCACGTGTGATCATGTGACCAGAACGTTCAGTTTCCTGATGCGCGTCACGTGTGATCATGTGACCAGAACGTTTAGTGTCCTGATGCTCGTCACGTGTGATCATGTGACCAGAACGTTTAGTGTCCTGATGCGCGTCACGTGTGATCATGTGACCAGAACGTTTAGTGTCCTGATGCGCGTCACGTGTGATCATGTGACCAGAACGTTTAGTGTCCTGATGCGCGTCACGTGTGATCATGTGACCAGAACGTTTAGTGTCCTGATGCTCGTCACGTGTGATCATGTGACCAGAACGTTTAGTGTCCTGATGCGCGTCACGTGTGATCATGTGACCAGAACGTTTAGTGTCCTGATGCGCGTCACGTGTGATCATGTGACCAGAACGTTCAGTGTCCTGATGCGCGTCACGTGTGATCATGTGACCAGAACGTTTAGTGTCCGGATGCTCGTCACGTGTGATCATGTGACCAGAACGTTTAGTGTCCTGATGCGCGTCACGTGTGATCATGTGACCAGAACGTTCAGTGTCCTGATGCGCGTCACGTGTGATCATGTGACCAGAACGTTTAGTGTCCTGATGCGCGTCACGTGTGATCATGTGACCAGAACGTTCAGTTTCCTGATGCGCGTCACGTGTGATCATGTGACCAGAACGTTTAGTGTCCTGATGCTCGTCACGTGTGATCATGTGACCAGAACGTTTAGTGTCCTGATGCGCGTCACGTGTGATCATGTGACCAGAACGTTTAGTGTCCTGATGCTCGTCACGTGTGATCATGTGACCAGAACGTTTAGTGTCCTGATGCGCGTCACGTGTGATCATGTGACCAGAACGTTCAGTGTCCTGATGCTTCTGTTTCTATGTGCAGGTCTATAATTTGTCCCAAAACGTTCAGGAAGACGATCTGCAACATCTTCAGGTGAGACTCACTGTTCAGTCCTGATCCATGAGTGTTTACAGGTCGAGTCAGGCTTAAACCAATAGTTCACTTGAAAATTACATTTGTCATCATTTACTCGACCCTCAAGTTGTTTCAAACCTGTATGACTTTCTTTCTTCTGCTGAACATAAGAGAAAAATATTTTGAAGAATGTCAGTAACCAAACAGTTTTCCAGTGTTTACAGGCTTAAAAACGGCTGAAAGTCATTGTGTTGAATGGTAAATATCAAATAGACGTGCCCAACATGATTTATTCTTCACAGATATTTTTTTTTTAGTTTGGTTAATTAATTTATGAAGCACGTTTAAAAAAAAATGTTAAAACCAAAGTGCTGTACAACAAATAAAGAGCAAACTTAAAACATAATTAAACATCTGAAAAACCAATGAAAATGACAGAATTAAAACATAAAGAATAAAAATAAGTCAAAATAAATTATCATTAGTGGATTATTTTAACATTTAAGTTGGTCTTGTGGCTCTACATGCTCTGGAACGTTGCATTTAGACTCGTTTTAATGCTCTAAATCTGTTTGTTACATTAAATAGTACTAATAATAAACAGTATAGGATGTTTTCTGTGCCGTTTCATTCTTCGTCTAGGTTCATACGTCAGATGGACGTCTTTGGCGTCTTTTCTTTTTAAAGGTGTCTTTACGAGAATTATGATTATGATATAATACTTTATTCTCAGACAAGTCTGAAATTTTTCTTGCAAGACAGTATCTACGTTTACACAAATCAACATCCAATAAACTTGATCCACAAACGAAACTATTGTGCAATAGTCTGCTGGGTCTGTCTTCTATTAAAAGAGGTCTATATTTCAAAGCATTCAAGAATTACAATCGCTTAAGTTCATATCTATGATGAAAACGGGGGCTGACGGTTAACAGGTTTAGTACGTCTCACTGTATCATGAATCCTTTGAGATGTCGTCATGTTGCAGGATTATACATGTTAAAGTGTGCTTCTGTATTATAATGTGTTTTTGCTTTTTAATCTTTTTTTTTCCAGCTCTTCACAGAGTATGGCCGACTGGCCATGGAGGAGATCTACCAGAAACCCTTCCAGGTACTGTGTGTGTGTGAGCACACACGCTGAGAGAGTGAGCGTGCGAGAGTGAGCGTGCGCGAGGGTGAGCGTGCGCGAGGGTGAGCGTGCGCGAGGGTGAGCGTGCGCGAGGGTGAGCGCGCGCGAGAGTGGGTGAGCGCGCGCGAGAGTGGGTGAGCGCGCGCGAGAGTGGGTGAGCGCGCGCGAGAGTGGGTGAGCGCGCGCGAGAGTGGGTGAGCGTGCGAGGGTGACCGTGCGAGAGTGAGCGTGCGCGAGAGTGGGTGAGCGTGCGCGAGAGTGGGTGAGCGCGCGCGAGAGTGGGTGAGCGTGCGCGAGGGTGACCGTGCGAGAGTGAGCGTGCGCGAGGGTGAGCGTGCGCGAGGGTGAGCGTGCGCGAGAGTGGGTGAGCGCGCGCGAGAGTGGGTGAGCGCGCGCGAGAGTGGGTGAGCGTGCGAGGGTGACCGTGCGAGAGTGAGCGTGCGCGAGAGTGGGTGAGCGCGCGCGAGAGTGGGTGAGCGCGCGCGAGAGTGGGTGAGCGTGCGCGAGGGTGAGCGTGCGCGAGGGTGAGCGTGCGCGAGGGTGAGCGTGCGCGAGAGTGGGTGAGCGTGCGAGGGTGACCGTGCGAGAGTGAGCGTGCGCGAGAGTGGGTGAGCGTGCGCGAGAGTGGGTGAGCGTGCGCGAGAGTGGGTGAGCGCGCGCGAGAGTGGGTGAGCGTGCGCGAGGGTGACCGTGCGAGAGTGAGCGTGCGCGAGGGTGAGCGTGCGCGAGGGTGAGCGCGCGCGAGAGTGGGTGAGCGCGCGCGAGAGTGGGTGAGCGCGCGCGAGAGTGGGTGAGCGCGCGCGAGAGTGGGTGAGCGTGCGAGGGTGACCGTGCGAGAGTGAGCGTGCGCGAGAGTGGGTGAGCGTGCGCGAGAGTGGGTGAGCGTGCGCGAGAGTGGGTGAGCGTGCGCGAGGGTGACCGTGCGAGAGTGAGCGTGCGCGAGGGTGAGCGTGCGCGAGAGTGGGTGAGCGTGCGCGAGAGTGGGTGAGCGTGCGAGGGTGACCGTGCGAGAGTGAGCGTGCGCGAGAGTGGGTGAGCGCGCGCGAGAGTGGGTGAGCGCGCGCGAGAGTGGGTGAGCGTGCGAGGGTGACCGTGCGAGAGTGAGCGTGCGCGAGGGTGAGCGTGCGCGAGAGTGGGTGAGCGTGCGCGAGAGTGGGTGAGCGTGCGCGAGGGTGACCGTGCGAGAGTGAGCGTGCGCGAGGGTGAGCGTGCGCGAGAGTGGGTGAGCGTGCGAGGGTGACCGTGCGAGAGTGAGCGTGCGCGAGGGTGAGCGTGCGCGAGAGTGGGTGAGCGCGCGCGAGAGTGGGTGAGCGTGCGAGGGTGACCGTGCGAGAGTGAGCGTGCGCGAGGGTGAGCGTGCGCGAGAGTGGGTGAGCGTGCGCGAGAGTGGGTGAGCGTGCGCGAGAGTGGGTGAGCGCGCGAGAGTGGGTGAGAGTGTGTGACAGAGAGTGTGTGTGCGCGTGACCGAGAGTGTACACGCGAGAGAGAGAGTGTGTGAGATCTCTGCAGTAACTCTGTGTGTGTTTGCGTGCAGTCCCTGATGTTTCTCATCCGAGACTGGAGTTACCCGTACGAACACGCTTATGGTCTGGATGGAGGAAATGCGTTCCTGGAGAAGAGGCTGCAGGTGGGTCACATGACAGGTCACATGATGCTGTAGGAAACCGGTTTCTCTTGTTCGTGTCACACAGAGCACTGGTTCTTAACGGTCACTGTGATTTTGCCAAGTCAGGACATGTTCCTGGCATATTTTCATTGTATTGACATACGCCCCCCAAGTCAAGACCGACATATTTTGTTGCGTTCCTGTCCGAACCCTTTCCTTTCTCTAACACTACCCATGACTTATGGGGAAATGATAACACTGATGTAGAAGCACCTAACCCTGGTTGTAAGCCTAAACTTGACATTAACTTGTCAAATCTGATTGGTTGATTGAATGTTGTTCCAGGATCAACTAAGATGTTGTACTTGATGAAATCACATTCACCGGCTCTCAAGATGAATTAAAATGATTGAAAAAAGACAAAACAAACATGAAAATAAGCTAAAACAATTAAAAATGGAATCACAAAATTAATTTTTGTTAATATATTAATAATAACAGTATATCAGTAAAAAAAAGTTTTAAAACAAGCCGCTTTGTCATAATTACTGACATTTAACACTTTACATCTATTTTCCCTCAATAACTAAATGTTTTTTTATTGAAGAAAACACATTTCTAGAACAGTTTTATTAATATTATTAATATAAGCTTTTATTTTTAGTTTTCATCTTAATTAGTTCTAGTCATTTCGTTATGTGCTCTTATTATATTAGCTATTTTATTTTTTTATTTAAGATTTAGTTTGTTTTTATTTATTTTCAGTTAATAATTGTTGTGCTTCAACTTAAACTTCAACATTTCTCATTTTCGTTCAGCTTATATTTATCTTTTATTTTGTTTCAGCCTTATTTCAATTAACAGAATTGTATTTAAATAATTTGGTTAATAATAATAATCCTGATCTGGAATACACAACATAATTCCTGTAATCACAAAATTAATTAATTTAATGTTTAATAAACCGTTAAATAATTTGATATCGATAAAACGGTAACACTTTACAATAAGGTTCGTTGGTTGACATTAGTTAACTACATTAACTAATAATGAACTGCACGTATACAGCATTTATTAATCTTTGTTAATCTCAACATTTACTAATACTTTATTAAAATCTTGTTAACATTAGTTAATGCACTGTGAACTAACATGAACAAACAGTGAACAGCTGGATTTTTATTAACTAACATTAACAAAGATTAATAAAAACAGTAACAAATGTATTGCTCATGGTTAGTTCGTGTTAGTTAATACATTAACTAATGATCCTTATTGTAAAGTGTCACCAATAAAACATTCAGCTTATTCATAACTAGGGCTGTCACTTTACGTTCGAAAATCGATTGCACAATCGATCGGACCAACCAACACAAGTTTCGAAAACGAAAATAGGGAATCGATTTTAACGGCCTTTTTTTATTTTTATTTTTTATAAACCAAAAATGTGTTTTAGGTGGACAGATCAATACAGCACACAGAACATGTAGGATGCTGGGAAATAACAATGTCTTTTCTGTTCACCAAATGCTTTTTAATATTCGCTATTACTTCAATGCAGGTGAACTAGCGCGAATTTGTTGCGTAGTGACGTGTGTGTGTGTGTGTTTGGGTGTGTGTTCAAGTGAGCCAGAAATGCACAGATTCTGCAATACGCAGCATTTAATATATCATGAGGATCACGAGTTGCGTATTTGCGCTAAATCCGCGCAGATTTGTCTTACACGAACTTCCCCAGCAAAGAAAGTGAGTAAACACAGAAACGCCAGATTGGCTCGTGATTTGACAGCGTTTCCCGCCACAGTTCATTTGTACCCGCATTTGGCGGGTCGAGGGTGTTAATCTCAATCCCTGAATGTTGCGCTCCTGTTTGTCATTGTGACGAAACTTCACGCCAATAAATCATCAGGAATATTGCTGACTTGTGCGTCGCAAGCGCCCTCTTTACGCTCGTCCTAATGCCTGTTAGGTGTCCGTGGATTTGCCTGTATTTGGTGTTGAAAATGGAAACGTCTTTAGACATGGAAAATCGAGTTTACAATTGATTCAATGAACACTAATGTCTCAACAAAGTGACAGCCCTAGTCATACCTGTTGTGCAGTGGCAGTTCTAGAGTCAGAAGGCTTGAGAACTCGATCACATGTGCTTGAATTACGCTGTGATTCTCAGGTGAAACCGAATCAACACGAGGAGCTCCAGAACGTGAGGAAACACATCCACTCGTGCTTCTCCAACATCAGCTGCTTTCTTCTGCCACACCCCGGACTCAAAGTGGCCACAAACCCGCACTTCGACGGCCGGCTACGAGGTGAGAGCCTGGATTATTCACACACTTGCTCCTAAATAGATTTTACAGTTCGCACACATCTCATTTTAGTCACAAATGTGAGTGAAACACTCGCACTGTCGAGTCCTGAATTGAGAAAGTTAGTGTTTTTTGACCTTTGATGCATGTAAACCTGTTTTACGAGACTCCAAAACAACATTAAGAGCCTTTTAGGGCTGACCTCTAACCGTCGACTAACCGTTTGTTGACCAGAAGAGGTTTGGTTGGACATTTTATTTAGGGCTGGGAATCTCTAGGCACCATTCGATTCGATCGGATTCAAAGGGCTGCGATGCTAAAACTATTATCTATCAGAGATGCACCGATTACAATTTTCTAGGCCGATTTCCGATTTTTCAGAGTTTGACCTGCCGATACCGATTTTAGCCGATTTCATTTTTTCTAACCACTTTACAGCACACACAAATATTTATTTTCTCTCTTTTCTTTTGTAGAACATTTTACAATTTGCATAGAACATTTTTGAACAGTAATCGCTATAAAATAGGACTATATAAATTACTCCTGGTGTGGGAAATTCACACATCTAAAGTGCAGTGTTATGGATGAACCATTTCCTCCTTTTCACATCCAATATCCAACTAAAAAAATGTTCATTTCAAAAAGAAATTTCATTTTCTTTTCTGACATATACTCCAGTTCTTGTTAAAACACACCAGACATGCAAATTCTGTGCATTTTGGGCACTTTTGTGTGAATCTTGTCCATCAAAAGTGTGCTTTCACTTTAATTGAGCGTGAGCAGCGCAGCAGAAATAGACTCTGCGCCGACACCCGCGCTTCACCGCTGCTCCTGCTCGACGCTCACGCGCGGCTCCTGCTCCCGGTGTGAATGCACTCAGTGATTTACATGCACGCCGGGAATAATACGCGCTGCTCACGTTTGCGGTGTGAAACGGCCGTAATTCACGAGGTTTCCTACATGTGCGTTCCGTGTGCACGTGTGATGTTGCGCGATGTTAATCATGCGCCGCCCGAGTGCATAAAATCGGCATATGTCAGACTGACCGGCCGGTCGCCGATCATGGCCGATCACGTGAAAATCGGCCAATTCCGGTCACCAGCCGATCAATCGGTGCATCTCTATTATCTATACATCTTTTTTTGTGTGTGTGTGAGACTATTTGGTACTTTTAAAGCAAAGTATTTATATTGACCCATAAAGAATTTACTTCCAATAGGCTTTATGCCGAGCGTCACGTGACCAAGCCGGAAAACAGATCACATCGCTTCCGATTCAGGTCTTTTGTATGTGCTTCATGAAATTTTTTGCGGTTTTACTCAAGATAACTTAAAAGGAGCAAGCAAACATGAGCATAACCAATGTCCCTCGCATGTGCAGGATGATATTTAAAAGTTTTTTAATTTTTCTTCTTCACACTAACGTTTAGATATTTAAATAGCATAAAACACCAATAACAAAGTGAACTTAGTAGGTTAGCTGATTACCTTAAAAATCCATAGATATCGTAGTTAGTTCTTACGGCCGTTAACACTTTCTCTGACAAGCGGATGCAATGAGACCCGTTTTCCGGTTTGGTCACGTGACACTCGGCATAAAGCCTATATATTTTATTAAAGGGATACTTCAGGATTTAGCATTAAGCTTTGTATTAGTAGAAAACCTGTAGTGTTTTCGAATTACCGTGCTTGAGACGAGAGATTTATGTATTTTTTGTCTGGAAAAAATCCTCCGATGACGCATTTTAAATACACATTCATCTTTCCAGAGGTGAAGTATCCCTTTAATAAAACAAATGGAAGTGATTTGGCAAGTCAACTGTAAGGTTACATTTGACAGAATCATGATGCATCTAATAATCAAATTTTCCCCCAACCCAAAACACAGAAAACTTAATCAATAAATAATTAAAATGTTTAGACGGTCTCCTTCTGATTTTTTCACGACACACTCATGATTATTACATTTGCTGTGTGCTCTGGCTTTATGCGTGTGTTTGAGCGCTGATTAGGCCATTAATGTATAGGCAATTAAAGGCTCGTTGTTATGATTTATGGCTTAATAATATAAACTCGTGATTAGTCGACTAATTGCTTAAATGAACGGCTACTAGTCAACTAGAAAAATCTTTAGTCAAAGGCAGGCCTAGAGCTTTTAAAATAGCATAAAAGATTGTCATTGGATGAAAATGTGTGGTATTTTATTATTATTATTATTATATACTGTGATATATTGCTGTCATAATTTCTTCAACTTTAATATTGGCAGGTTGGCTTTATATTTCAGTGCAGTCGAGTGGTTTAATATTCACAGACACAATTTCAGATCATTTTTTGACAGCCCTACTTATGATTAATTCATCCAAATTTAGCCAAATTCCATGAGATTCTGTGTTGTACAGTACATTTGCATTTTTATGAAGTCATAGAGCCCTAGTCTTCACATCTGTGTGATGATGTTTGATCATGTTTAAATCCATTGATGGCCCAAATAAGTATTGATCACTGAAATGGAAGTACTCACTCTCTCTCTCTCTCTCTCTCTCTCTCTCTCTCTCTCTCTCTCTCTCTCTCTCTCTCTCTCTCTCTCTCTCTCTCTCTCTCTCTCTCTCTCTCTCTCTCACTCACTCACTCACTCACTCACTCTCACACACACACACACACACACACACACACACACACACACACACACACACACACACACACACACACACACACACACACACGACTCCTGTATTCCCCGTGTGGCGCAGACAAAAACACACACACACACACACACTAGGGCTGCACGATTTGGGCCAAAATGATAATCACGATTATTTTGATCAATATTGAGATCACGATTAATTATCACGATTATTTGTTGATTTTAACCAAAACAAATTGTATTGTCACATAGGCTAATTATAACTGCTTTCACGTCCATATTGTGCTATTCCTGCTAATGTACAACTATGTGCATCAAAATAAAATAGGTCCTCTTATTCACCAAAATTCAGTGCATCTCCTTAAAGAATAAATAAAAATAAATAAAACAATAAAGAAAATGTAGCAAAACTTCAACAGGGCACTATTTTACATTGTGTAAATCTATTTTAGGAAGCAAAATGTAAACTTGCATTGTACCTGCATAATGGATGTGAATAAAACGTGCAAAATATACAATCAATAAAAACCAAATATTCCATAACAGAATGTAACCAAATGAGAACATTTCAAGGCAGAACTACACTATGGAAGTTCGGTTAATGGATGAATTTCAGAGTCATTGTTATTTGACGCTTAAGAAATGTAAAATGTTGTGGTACAGTGTCAGTGATTAGTTGTGAAGTCTTACTGCATAACTTGAATCTATTTAACCCTCCATATGAACGTTTATGTGCTCGAATTATTTCTATTTATTAAACAATAGTTCAAAACAAGACGTTTGTAGTAGGCTATGATTATTGGAGTCCATTAATCGAACTTCCACATGCCTCTTATATAGTAATTATATATTAGTATGTACCAATTTACTAATGCTCACACGACGGTCTCTCACGCGCACTGTCACTCGGTCTCTCTCGCGCGCAGACACACTCGGTATCTCTCGCGCGCAGACACACTCGGTATCTCTCGCGCGCAGACACACTCGGTATCTCTCGCGCGCAGACACACTCGGTATCTCTCGCGCGCAGACACACTCGGTATCTCTGGCGCGCAGACACACTCGGTATCTCTGGCGCGCAGACACACTCGGTATCTCTGGCGCGCAGACACACTCGGTATCTCTGGCGCGCAGACACACTCGGTATCTCTCGCGCGCAGACACACTCGGTATCTCTCGCGCGCAGACACACTCGGTATCTCTCGCGCGCAGACACACTCGGTATCTCTGGCGCGCAGACACACTCGGTATCTCTCGCGCGCAGACACACTCGGTATCTCTCGAGCGCAGACACACTCGGTATCTCTCGCGCGCAGACACACTCGGTATCTCTCGCGCGCAGACACACTCGGTATCTCTCGCGCGCAGACACACTCGGTATCTCTCGCGCGCAGACACACTCGGTATCTCTCGAGCGCAGACACACTCGGTATCTCTCGCGCGCAGACACACTCGGTATCTCTCGCGCGCAGACACACTCGGTATCTCTCGCGCGCAGACACACTCGGTATCTCGCGCGCAGACACACTCGGTATCTCTCGCGCGCAGACACACTCGGTATCTCTCGCGCGCAGACACACTCGGTATCTCTCGCGCGCAGACACACTCGGTATCTCTCGCGCGCAGACACACTCGGTATCTCTCGCGCGCAGACACACTCGGTATCTCTCGCGCGCAGACACACTCGGTATCTCTCGCGCGCAGACACACTCGGTATCTCTCGCGCGCAGACACACTCGGTATCTCTCGCGCGCAGACACACTCGGTATCTCTCGCGCGCAGACACACTCGGTATCTCTCGCGCGCAGACACACTCGGTATCTCTCGCGCACTTTCGAGCGCGCACTTGGACACTCGGTCGCTCACTGCGCGCAGACACAATCGGTATCTCTCGCGCGCAGACACAATCGGTATCTCTCGCGCGCAGACACACTCGGTATCTCTCGCGCGCAGACACACTCGGTATCTCTCGCGCGCAGACACACTCGGTATCTCTCGCGCGCAGACACACTCGGTATCTCTCGCGCGCAGACACACTCGGTATCTCTCGCGCGCAGACACACTCGGTATCTCTCGCGCGCAGACACACTCGGTATCTCTCGCGCGCAGACACACTCGGTATCTCTCGCGCGCAGACACACTCGGTATCTCTCGCGCGCAGACACACTCGGTATCTCTCGCGCGCAGACACACTCGGTATCTCTCGCGCACTTTCGAGCGCGCACTTGGACACTCGGTATCTCTCGCGCGCAGACACACTCGGTATCTCTCGCGCACTTTCGAGCGCGCACTTGGACACTCGGTCGCTCACGCGCGCAGACACAATCGGTATCTCTCGCGCGCAGACACACTCGGTATCTCTCGCGCGCAGACACACTCGGTATCTCTCGCGCGCAGACACACTCGGTATCTCTCGCGCGCAGACACACTCGGTATCTCTCGCGCGCAGACACACTCGGTATCTCTCGCGCGCAGACACACTCGGTATCTCTCGCGCACTTTCGAGCGCGCACTTGGACACTCGGTATCTCTCGCGCGCAGACACACTCGGTATCTCTCGCGCACTTTCGAGCGCGCACTTGGACACTCGGTCGCTCACACGCGCAGACACAATCGGTATCTCTCGCGCACTTTCGAGCGCGCACTTGGACACTCGGTATCTCTCGCGCACTTTCGAGCACGCTCCTGACACTCGGTCGCTCACGCACACTGTCACTCGGTCTCTCTCGCGCGCAGACACACTCGGTATCTCTCGCGCACTTTCGAGCACGCTCCTGACACTCGGTCGCTCACGCGCACTGTCACTCGGTCTCTCTCGCGCGCAGACACAATCGGTATCTCTCGCGCGCTGGCGCTCGCACGCAGACACACTCGGTATCGAGCGCGCACTTTCGAGCGCGCACTTGGACACTCAGTCTCTCTCGTGCACTGTCGCTCGCGCGCAGACACTCGGCCTCTCTCGCGCACTCTCTCAGATAGTGGTTTACAGAGCGCTAGATTGGCTTTGCAAAAAAAAAAAAAAAAAAAAAAAAAACTTTGCTACGGAGCGAGCGTTCTGTGAACGGAATGAGACATTTTAAATATCGCGCGAATTTGATCGTGGGAAGCCAAAATCGTGATCGTGATTAAAATTTGATTAATCGTGCAGCCCTAACACACACACACACACACACACACACTCTCTCTCTCTCTAAATATTAGTGCATGGACCAAACTGTTCAATAAATGAGCTTTGTGTGTGTGTGTGTGTGTGTGTGTGTGTGTAGACATCGATGACGAGTTCAAGAGAGAGCTGGTGAATCTGGTTCCGCTGCTGTTGGCTCCAGAGACCCTAATGGAGAAGGAGATCAGCGGCTCTAAAGTCACGTGTCGAGATCTCCTCCAGTATTTCAGAGTAAGAGTGTTTCCCAGCCGGTCTCCGTCACTCATACCTCGCTTCCACCAAAAAAGAACTGGTTCGGAACTGGTGCTGGTTCAACTTGCGAACCTTTTCAGAACCTGTTTGTTTTTCCACTGACTAGAGAGCCCAGCGAACGACGTTGTTACGTCGCCATACGTCTCAGCTTTCCCGTTCCCGTCGTGCTGTTGGTGACAGTAACCCCCGGTTCTAGTCCAGCAAAGAGTTGGTGCCGCTTTGGAACCAATCTTCCTGGCCGAGAACCGGTTCTTTGGCTGTCGAAACACACAGAACTGTTTCGCGAGTAGACACCGGCTCCGAACCGGCTCTCAAGATGCTTTGGTGGGAAACGGGTATCTGATGTTTGCTGGGACTGACCGTGTGTTTCTGTCTCAGGCCTACATGAAGATCTATCAGGGCGAGGAGCTGCCGCACCCCAAGTCCATGTTACAGGTACAGACGCGCACAGAATACTGCTCTGCCACAGTCATGATTTAGTCAATTGCATTTTTTTTTTAAAATTTTATGTATTATTTTATTTGTTTATTTTTATTTATTTTTCCCCCCATTAAATGTAAGGCAAATGTCAAAAGCACTAAACATTCCTGTTATGTTGTATATTTTGTCAATTTATTTAGTTTTTTTATGCATTTATTATTTATTTTTTTGTATTTGTCAAAAGCACTAAACATTTTTTAATTTCCAGTCTTTTTTTATTTTGGTAAATTGTACATTTTATCAAATTATCTTATTTTTGTATTTAATAATTTATCTTATTAAAGTAGTATTCTATTTTTATTTTATTTATTTCCTGTAAACTTTATAAGGCAGATAAGCACTAAACATCTTACATTTTCACGTAGTTATTTCTGTTATGTTACATAATTTATCCATTTATTTTTGTGCATTTATTTTATTCATTTTAATGTATTATTCTTTCAGTTGTTTATTTTTATTTATTTTGAAGTTTCCCCCTAGTAAACTTTCTACGGCAGTTATATTATATATTTTATCAATTAATTGTACATTTTTGTGTATTAATTATTTATTTATTTTGTATTTATTATTCTAGTTTACATTTACACTACCGTTCAAAAGTTTGGGGTCGGTACGATTTTAAATACTTTTAAAAGAATTCTCTTCTGCTAACCATGGCTGCGCTTATTTAATTAAAAAAACAACGAAAATCAGTTATAGTATTAAATATTATTCCAGTGTAAATCAGCTGTTTTCTGTGTGAATATATAGTAAAGTGTAATTTATTCCTGTGATCAAAGCTGAATTTTCAGCATCACCAGTGTCAGTGTCTTCAGTGTCAAATGATCCTTCACAAATCAGTATAATATGAGGGTTTGATGCTCAAGAAACATTTATTATTATTATCAATGTTGAAACAGTTGTTGGTCTGTCAGTTGTTCAGTTTTTTTTTTTTTTTTTTGGATTGATGAATAGGAAGTTCAAAAAAACAGCATTTGTTTGAAATAGAATCTTTTGAAACATTATAAATGTCTTTACTGTCACTTTCGATCAAATTAAGTATTGATTTCTTTCCTCCAAAAAATAAAAATAAAATTCTCACTGACCCCAAACTTTTGAACGGTAGTGTACATTTACATTTAGTCATTTAGCAGACGCTTTTATCCAAAGCGACTTACATCTGAGGACTAAAGCAAGCGAGTCATCGTGAAGAGGGAAGACCGACGCAAGAAGTGCTCAAAATACAAAGTTCAGGCATTGCTCAGAGTAGCAAAAGCCAGACAAGGGAAGATTTAAAAGGGAAGGAAAGATTTAAAAGAGAATAATTTTTTTAATTTTTTTATTTTATTTATTTTATTTATGTTAAAGACCCACTCCGATGAAAATAATGTTTTTCTAGGTGTTAACATGTTCTTGTGGCATTTTTCTGATGTTAGAGGACATATCTTGAGAAAAATCAGCTCAAAGTTGTATTTCTGAGTATTTCTACATTCAAATGGCTGTGAATCAGTAGCAGACGCTAAAATGCCGGCTAAAATAGACTGGAGTTGTGACGTAGTAACTCCACTGGGCGTCTCCACACGCGACGTCTTGGAGTGAAATAATGATTAGTGATCGGTGATAACTTTGATTAACTTCGGATAATAATAATTAACGTGTATATAACACTGTTGCCCCACCAGTATTGGGGGTGTAAGCTAGCGGGAGAGACAGAGCTCTCAGCAACGGGCAGGGGGAGGGTCGTCTCCGTGCCAATGGCTCCGCCCACAACGCAGAGGCGAATTGCTAATGAGCTACTGCCGCTCTGCTGAAGCGAAGTCCCAGAAAACGGCACAGGTTTTGTGATTTTGGCTAAAAATGGCATAATCAAAATTTAAAGACCACTGGGAATGTTTAAAAATAGCTCAAAATATGATCGGAGTGGGACTTTAAGTACTCACGGAAGAGATGAGTTTTCAGTTGTCTTTTGAATGCTGTCAGGGATTCTGCATTACGGATGAGGGTGGGCAGATCCTTCCACCAGCATGGAACCGTGAATGAGAATGTTCTGGAGAGTGATTTAGTGCCTCGCTGTGATGGCACCACGAGCCGTCGCTCCTTGGCCGATCGTAGGCTTCTGGTAGGGATGTAGACTTGTAGTAGGGAGTGAAAGTAGGACGGAGCTGAACCTGTGGTCAATCTGTAAGCAAGCGTCAAAGCTTTGAATTTGATGCGAGCAGCGAGTGGTAGCCAGTGCAGAGAGATGAACAGAGGAGTGACGTGGGCCCTTTTGGGCTCGTTGAAGACCAGACGAGCTGCAGCATTCTGGATCATTTGTAGAGGTTTAGTAACACATGATGGAAGTCCAGCCAGAAGAGCATTGCAGTAATCAAGCCTAGAAATGACCAGGGCCTGGACGAGAAGTTGTGTTGCATGCTCAGTTAGGAAAGGCCTGATCTTCCTGATGTTATACATTGCAAACCT